CATGTAGCTAGAGGTATATATATAGACATATAGCTAGATACATCTATGCAGAAAATGTTGTTTTGTTTCAAATATGCCATTAGGGTCTCTTAGGTTGCCATAGCGTCTCTATCTGTTATAGATAAGACATTAAAGGGATGGACTTATTAATGAAAGAGATATAACCCATGAACCTAGAATAATAAAGATGGTTGGTCAGAGACTTATGCATAAAAACCCCTGAACGTAATATTAATATTAGTATTGCTGTCAGTATTAACATCGATATTAGTATCCGTATTGGTATCAAAATTTGTAGTGGCGTATACATCTTATCTCATGTGTTATATTTATAAGTTGTATTGTTGTTTGAGTAATGTGCATCACTGATTGAACGCCTTTAGTGATAAACTTGCAGGTTATTTGAATATTTATTGTGTTACTTCTCTGCTACCGTCTTTATTGTTAAGTTTGTTATTTTGCAGAAGATTCACATGGTGTAGTAGATTGCATTCCATGAAATAGAGTTATACCATGTGTTTTAAATGGTTTCATTTAATCTTCACATCGTGTTTTGCGCGTTTCACGTTTTCTTCTTTGTAATATTTAATTGAATTTTATATGTTACAACTCTAAATTAAGAGATAACGTTTATGTTTTTTTATTTCTTTCAATTTTGTTTTACTTGATTGGTGTTGTTATAAAGAGATAGTCGTTTACATATTATTATATTTCTCATTTTGAAACTGAACTCTGTACAACGCACGTGGTGAAGTACTGGTACTAGTTCAAGAACAATCATTTTGAATGCATTACAGAACATCCTATTTGAGGATTGTTTGTATCAATTTTCAATTGGTCAACATCACAATCAGAATGAATTTGAGGACAGTGTACTTGAACAAATAAAATAAAATACAGACAATTTAATATACTATGATATTAAATAATTGATTGATATGGTTTAACAATTCCATACATGTCACACAATGCTGTAATTGAGTCATTGAAAACAATCAACAATCAACTATTATTAGAATAAAATAAATATTTAAATAGAAAAATATATAATGGAATCAGAGTTTTTTGAGTTGAGAATCAGGCACAAAGATTCCATGGAAGCCAAAAGGAACCCTGTGGGGCAGCTTGACAGCAGCAACAATTGCAAGAGTAGGAGATTTAGCATCCATTACTATAAAATTCGATTCTTGAGTATTTTTATCATATACATAACTCACAAGGTAGCCATCATCCTCCTGCGTCGCCGGATTTTCAGGTTCCCTCGGCACAAAAACTATTTCGCCGCCGGAGCAGCCAGGCGGATACAGGTGGCTAGCCACCGCGCATTCGTCGCCGGAGGAGGAGTATCCAGTAGTTGCTGAAAGTGACAGGTCTATCTTCACCACCCCCACCATGTTTGGCATTGGCTCGCCTATTGATGCGTATGCGTATCTGTGTTATGTGTAAATCAACGGAGCAAGATTAAAATATTATATTTTTTTTTACTCTGATAGTAGAGTAGAGGATGCGTATCAACTCTCCTAAAATTTTATTTATATATAATTTATAATTTAAACATATATTACCTGTTCTTCTTCCCAACATAAGCCGGGTTGATGACGGCGAACTCCAAATTTCTAGAGCACACCGACGATCTTCTCCGTAGGCTCTCGGTTTGCACATCTATTTCAATTCTCTCGACGGACGAGTGAATCAAATCCACCCGCTCCAACACATGCTCCACCCCCAAAATATTTAGCGCCACCATCACAATCGTGTTGCCGTCGTCTTCCTCCCAGGCGTTGACGGCGTGGATCATATTAAAACCCGGCGCATCCACCCACCACATCTCATTCTCATCCACCGCGTACCGCCTGATAATCCCCAGCCTCGGCATTTTCGCAGCATTAACCCCAATTGGCTGCTTCCCTCTCAGAATCTCCACTGGTTTGATAACAATCTGCGAGTCGAAGAAAACAGCGTAGTTTTTCGTAACCGCAAAATCATGGATCAACGAAGCTTCCTTCAACGAGGATATGGGAACTTCTGGCTGTTTGATTCCATCAGCATTGATCCTGAAATACGTTAGAAATGGGTGCACGATGCTGTGCCGGAAAGCAAAGGCCTCCCCGGTTTCCGCCTCTACTTTCGGGTGGGCAGTCATAGTCATAAGCGGCTCGCCGAAAGATTCATGGCGGCCGAGGGTGATTATATCTCCGTCCGATGTTAGTTTCACCGTATAAGGGAGATCAGACTCGCCCATAGCAAAGAGTTTTCCGGCGAACAATGCTAGGCTCGTGTTGGCCACACCGATGCCTCTGCGCGGGTCGAACTCCCCGGCTAGAATACGACCTGATTCAGTGGCGTAGCCAGGATTTTATTAAAATATGCATAGGATCGTTTGTTATTAGTAATTATTATATTTGAAAGAAGAGAAAATATTCAAAACAGACGGTCGTTAATTGCACAAAAATGGACTCCACTCACATGAAGACACGTGGACAAAATCAATGAATATTCTCTCTCTAATGGGACCGATTTATGTATTTCATTAATTCATTTGGGGCGGTAAAGACAAGTGCTTCTCTTTTTCCTTTTTTCCTTTTTTTTTCTTTTTTTTTTGTGCAAAATAAAACTTATTTTCAATCCAATCACTGATGCTCTTTTCATAATTTTAATATCAAATTTAATAAATAATATTATTATAGTGTAAAATAATGCCCTTTTATTAAAATTTGTTATTAACTTTTAATAAATATTAATTTTATATAAATTAGTGTATAATAATTACGAGTAACATAAAAATTAATCATAAAATCGCTTGAAAAGCATTTCGTGAAAATGAGATGATATTTGATATTTTTTCTTTTGAATTTGAGATGATAATTTTTCATGTTGTTTAGTGTAAAAAACTTTAAAATCATAAATTAATTAACAACCACTTTAATAATTCAAATACAATAGAACCTCCATAAATTAATACTCGATAAATTAATAACCTCGCTTAAATAATAAATTTTCCCGGTCTCGATTTGGGGACAGCGTGCTAAATTAATAACTCGCTAAATTTATAAGATAATACACATTCGAAAATTTTAAGAAGTCCCACATAATATATAAATTAATAATGCATAAAAATAATTATTAAATTACATGGTGTAGTACATATTTTTAATTTTATAGATCTATGAAAGCTTAATACAATATAATTTAATTCTCGCTTGTTTCTTGTTAAAGTTCACATTACCATCAATCTCGTCCCTCACTTTTCTTAACATGGTTAAAACTTTCGGTATAGTTTTCTCATAACTCAACATAAAACCATTCTATACCATTGCTGCTTTAAGAGCTTCCGTTTATGAAATGTGCTCTATAGTGCATTGAACTAATGGTAGACATGGCCACGGGCCGGTTTGGGCCCGGAAACGGCCCGAACCGGCCCGTTGAAGGGCCAACCCAGCCCGTTGACCGGGTGAACAGGCCCGGACCCGTGAACCGGCCCTTCCTTCTGGGGAGGGGCCCGGTTTTAAAAAATGGTGAACCGGGGGCGGGGGGTTCCCCCGGTTTTAAAAAAAAAAAAAAAAAAAGCAATTACCGGTTAGTGACCCGGCTCGAACCGGCCCGGGTGAACCGGCCGTTTTTTGCTTTTTTTTTGAATTCCCCCCCCCCCCCACCAATTTTTCCTATAAATACCATCACACCCCATTTTTTTCCTATAATTTACTTATTCATCAAATATTTCAAAAAATAAAAAAAAAAAAAAAATTTCAAATTTTCCGGGCCAACCCGGAACCGGCGGGCCGACCCGGCCCGTCGAACCGTGCATATTACGGGCCGATTCCGGTTCCGGAAAAAGTGAACCGTGAACCGGTATGAACCAGCCCGGAACCGGCCCGTGGCCGTGTCTAATTAATGGTACAATGAATCATATATACGTAAAAAGTTTAAAAAGTAAATGTATTTATTGAAAATAGTAATAAACGTAATTTCATAAATTAATAAGCTATTAATTAATATATAAATTAATAATAATTAATTTATCGATAAGTTAATATTTCACTAAATTAATAAAAATTTGATGGTCCAAATTGTATTAATTTATACAACTTTAACTGTATAAATGTGATGAAATGAGAATGGGGCAATGGGCTGTAATTCATTTCTACAACACAGGGCCCATAAGAACGAAAAGCTTTTATTAATTTTGTCCACGTGGCATCAATTGAATGAAGGCCGTTTTATTGCAATTAACGGGCCATCCGTTCAGGATGTGCTCCCTTGAAAGAATAAGAAAAATCTTAATGGGCTCGCATAATGTTTGGTTGAAGATATCTAGACTCTAGAATGGCTCAAGTGTACCAAATAAACAAATAAACAAATAAATTAATGTATGCAATAAAATATCACTATATCAAATATAATAATAATAATAATAATAATAATAATAATAATAATAATAATAATAATAATAATAATAATAATAATAATAATAATAATAATAATAATAATAATAATAATAATAATAATAATAATAATAATAATAATAATAATAATAATAATAATAATAATAATAATAATAATAATAATAATAATAATAATAATAATAATAATAATAATAATAATAATAAATAATAATTATTATTATTATTATTATTATTATTATTATTATTATTATTATTATTATTATTATTATTATTATTATTATTATTATTATTATTATTATTATTATTATTATTAAAAAAAATAGTAGTAATAGTAGTAAGATTTTCACAACCCCACACACACCCTATCTATGTTGTCTTCGCTACTTACCTGCTTCAACGGTACAACGTGCCAAGGAAGGAAGGAGGCCATTAAAGGCGGAGAAGACGTTGAGAATGACGGGTGATCCAATTTCTCGCTCCAAATTATACTTGTAAGTCTTGACAAAACGGCTGCAGAATATGGCTTCACCGTCGGAGATTTTGATCGAGTGAAGCATGCCATCTCCGTCGAAGAGGTGGTAGGGTCCGCGGGGGAAGAACTGAGGGTTGGGGCCATTGCGAATGTAGGCCCCGTTTAGGCATGGCGGAAGTGAGCCATGGACCACCGTACAGGCGGTGGGGGGCAGCTCCCCAACTGGAGCGAAGTTACCGGCGAGCACGTGTTTGGGGTCAATAGAAACGCGAAGGGGTGGGTCCACGAAATCGCATATGAATTGATCTAACCAGTTGAATATATTTGTGAGAAGAATAGGATTCTTTCTTCTTCCTTTTGTTTCATTAGGTTTAAGCTTTTTGGGATGGAGAGATGATGCTCGTATGGGGTTAGGTGTTTGATGAGAAATTCTATTATATCTTTTATTATTTCTTGAAGAGGGAATATTGGATTGGGAGACAAGTAACGGTGTGGAAGGTATGCAGGCAGCATATCTTTGAATAGAAGAGGAATTAGAAAGAGAATTCATCTAATTCAATCTTAAATTGTTCTCAATGTTACGACCTATTTATACTAGGAGTTGTTTGAGAAAAACCTCTCGTTATTATTTTTTTTCAGTTTTGCCCCCGCCCGCCACATCATCACTGTGTCACGCGCCCACATCATCATTGCGCCACGTACTAGTCATCAGCCGTTTTCCTTTTTTTTTTTTTCTTTTTTTCCCCGTATTTTTTTTTTCAGTTTTATTAATTGACTATGCTTATGAAACATAGTTGATTAAGAAAATTCTTTTAAAAAATATTATTTTTTAAAATTTTTTTTTTCATTTTTTAATTTTTTTTCTCTATCAGGTATATTAATCGTCTGTGAAACATAGTCGATTAAGAATCTGACTACTAAAAATAACAAATCACAATTAAAAGAAATGCAAAGTCAACTGTATTTTACACAAACAAAAAAATATACAAAACATTATAATTGATTTATACAATTAGAATCAACAAACGAAAAATCCAATTTTTTTTAAAAGTTGGAGTCGATTAACCTTAATCAACTACTGAACATAGTCGATTAAGCCTTATTCAACTATTGAACACAGTCGATTAAACCACGCGTAGTTGATTAAGGACCCAACTTTCGCGAATATCTCTTTTTGCACCGTCTTCCGCCCAATTAATCAAAAAACCCTAGATCTGCTCTTCATCATCACCACGTCGCAGCCACACCACACCATCACCACCTCGCTTCCATATTCTAACAGTTTTTTATACAAATAAAGTAAATCACAACCGGAACCATCAATCAAAACAGAACCACCACCTTCAAAACCACCAAAACAAATCCACCCATATCAAAAAATATGCAGCAAAATTAGATTAAAAATTCCTAACAAATAAGTAGAATGAAGCAAAACTACCTTGAGTGCGTAATTTACAGCCCCTGTCGCCCTACTGCCGCCTCCACTCAAAGCCCTAGTTGCCAATCTCCGCCTGTGGCGCCTTCTACCATCGCCGCATCGCCGGTCCACCACCAAACACTCATATCAGATCTTGTAAAGACGGAAAAGAGAAGAGAGTGGGAAGAGAAAAGAGAAGAAAAAAAAAAAAAAAAAAAGAACGGCAGAATAACGTAAAAAATAATCAAGGTTTTGAAAGAATATAGCATAAATTTAAAATTATGAAAATAGCATTTGGGTGGAATATTAGTTAAGGGACTTTTCTCTAATTAGTTTTTGGGTGGGGGATTTCCTTAACCACATTTCATAAATGAGGGGGTCTTGCTAATTTTCCCTTTACAATATTATAGAAAAAAGAACAACTAATCATTTAAATTCACAAAATTAACAAATTGTCCTTCATATTTTTGAATTATAAGTTACATGCATGGATGTAGTCAGTGGCAAAGCCAGGATTTCACCCCTTGGAAACCGAATATTGAAAATAATGTTAGGAAATTAATGAATAATGATTGTTACAAGAATGACAAAATTAGGATTTTGTTACATAATTGATTTAATTTTTCAGGGGTTTGAGGGCACTGTTCTTCAAAAAAAAAATTGTGATTTTTTTTTTGACAAAAACCAGAAGATAGAGAAAAAGAAACTCATAGTTTTTTTGCATTAATTCTAATTTTGAGTAATTAAATAATAAAATTTGGGTGTTGTAATATAGTGAATTTTTTCCCATTGAGGGTCTTGAGACCATTCTCGCCCAAGGGTAGACTAGCATCACAATCGGTAACTTTATTATTATTTTTGTTCTTTTCTCAACTAAAAATATTTGATTACTATTTTTTATATATAAAACTAAATTATTAAAAATTATAGAAGCACAGTAACAAACAATAAATTATATATACATATACAATGGCAAAAAAAAAAAAAAGAAAAAAAACTAAAACTTGAGGGGACCATGGCCACACCTGGTCCAACAGTGACTTCCCAACTGCATGTACTCCATCAAATATAAAGTTAATTAGTTGTAAATCAAGTCACATGATGATAGTCCTAAATGCCAAATATTTGTAATAGCATGAAACTACTATTTTTATGAACATAAAAACGACATGGATCTTATCCAAGTTAATTAATCTATATGACATTTTTTTTGGATCATTCAAATTCAATTCCTAATTGTAATTCCAGATTAATTTCAATTTAATTAATTTTGACAAAAAAAAAAATAATTTATGACTTTTGTTTTAAAACTTTTTTTGCCGCCGATTTCCTGCGTTATTTTTTTTTATTATTATTATTTTTCTGTCACCGGTTTCCGACATTGACTTTTTACTTTATTTATCTTTCCCTAAAAAAAATTATCCTTTTTCTACGCCCGTTGCTGAACGTTGTACTGTCACTAACATCAATTATATTTTCCCTAACATTTACTTGTACTGTCATTGACAACACATTTACGTAATTGTATTGTCCATGACTGTACAATAACTGTCAACCACAACAATATTATTAATTTTTTCGCCATTTTTTTTATTTTGTTGGATTTGTTGATAACTCAACGTAATTATATTACTGTCGTTGACAGTAAAATTACAGTAAACACAATATTATTACTGTCTACAATCGTAATATTACTATAAACACAATAATATTATTGTGGTAATATTACTGTCGTTACAGTAATACTACTGTCAACCCCATATATATTAATTATTTTTGGTTTTTATTCTGTTTGGCTTTGTTGGACGATCAATATATTAATATCACTCTATTAAACAATAATAGTGATTTTTGTTGTGTTAATATTACTGTGCTAGAGAGTAATATAACAATATTATTGTCTTAAACTGTAGCATAATTAATATTATTGTGTTAAACAGTAATATTACTGTATTAAACAGTAATATAGTTAATATGACGGTCAACCACAACAATATTACTGTTTAAACGGGCAAAAAGATGTTACAGAATTTTTTTGAAAAGTCAATGCTGGAGACCGGTGGAAAAAGTAGGAGAAATTGTACTCAAAATTAAATTTTTGGTCAAAATTGAACAATTTGTGAAATTTGGTGTCAAATTGAGGTTAAATTAAATTTAATGATGAAATTGGAGCATATTAAAATGTGAAGAGGTTTTTTAATCTATTAAAATGTCTGGGTTTTTTTGTAAAAGATTTTTTTGCCTGACCCCTTTATTTTGTCTAGGGCTACTTTGAGGGGAAGCGCTAAGTCATGAGGATGGCGCTCGATGGGCGGCGGTGCTCGGGGTTGGGGAATGATGTCGGTGGCTCAACGACGTTGGGGGTAGGGATGTCAACGAAAGCGTCGGTGGGGATGGCAAGTTTGTGTCATCTTTAGCGGCGTGGGTGACGTTAGCGTCGCGTATCTAGGGATTGGTGGAGAAGATCTAGGGTATGGTGGGCGAATCTCAGATTTTTCGATTTCATGTCTACAGATGTCAGTGAGTGTCAATAGGTGTCAGATGACTGTGAGTGTCAATAGGTGTCTATGGTGTCTGGCGGTTAGGGTTCAAAGGACAAATTAGGTTTGTAAGAATGTGATACGGATTAATACAGTTTCCTACGAGTGTTTTTACGTGACTACAGAGTACTTGTTTTCTACGGGTTCCTATAGATGACTACGGCCTAAAAAATTAGAAAAATCAAAAGTTTCAATATTATGTAGAAAAAAAGAAAAAAAAAAGAAAATGCAAAAAGGAGAGAGAGAGAGAGAGAGTTCAATGAAAAAAAATAATAACAAAAATGCTAAATGCAAAAGTGAAAATGTTAAATACAGAATGAAAAAATGATAAATACAGTTTAAATATTACTTGGTGCATATTTCATTTTTTGTGTGGAGGCTCGGAATTAAATTTATGAACCATGTGAAACAATGTTTAGTTAGACTTGTAATTTAGTTCTACTAAGTTTTGTCATCTAAGTTTTGTCATGAGGGACCTATATGTTAAGGCCCCATAAATTTAATATATATTTAACTTGCTTATTTAATCGACTTAACTCGGGTTAGAGCAATATTAAACTCTAACTCGGTTAATAAAAATTTCATGTTTATCAAATTGTCTCAAACTCATTCCGACTCAACTCTAATTATGCCCGGCTCAAATAAAATTTGGTCTAGCCATCGGGCCCGGGGTAGGCTCATCTCAATTGACAATGATGTAGAATGTGATCTAATTTCTAATGAATGTGCCCCTAATATTTGTCCTAATAATAACTACTATCAATATTTAGGCAACTGCTCATTTTTGTAACTAACAACATGTGACGACTCCCATAATCTGTTAAACTATGTTTTTTTTCAATGCAAAAGTTTTACTTTCATTGAGTAAATTAAATGAATTCTCGCTAGGGGTGGAATAGGACATAATGGATCGAAAATGTTTTTTTCGGAAAATTTTAAAAGTTTTTACGAAGTAAAAAATGGGTTCCAATTTTTGTTCCAAACAATCGAATGTAAAAGATCATTCCATTTTCAGGATTTCTCAGAATCAGTGGAATTTCAGAAATTAAAGAAATTTATAATCTCTTGTTCTAAATTCGGATATAATATAATTTTTCACAATATATTTCTATCTTTTTTGAATTTTTACAGCAAAATGCAAGAAAAATCCAAAAGAGCATTCGAGCAAACGCAATAAATAAAAATACATGTAGGAACAAAAAAATACAAAACATAGATTTTCTTATAAAGAAAAATGCAATATAAAGTTTCTGATATCAATTAATTGTTTATAAGATTTTAAATTACTTGACCCTTCCGTATATTTATATTTTTCATATAAAATATAACAAAATTCATATTATGGAATTAGAAAGTATATCATATAACTACATTGTATATTTCAAAAAAACATATAAAATATTCAGATCTAAATTCGGATCAAAAATCAAAATTTCCGATAATTTAATATACTACTCCAATTTTGTTCCAAATAAACTCGGAACAATTGAAAATCAAAACTTCAAAAAATGTAATGACTAATGCGTTCCAAATTCAGAGATTTTTTAATCGGAATTGGCGAAAAAAATTTATTCTACTAGTGTGGATTCTATAAAAACATGTACACATGTCAATTTTCGAAATGACACTTAATTTGAAGACAATGGTTTCACTTCCGT